ATATATATATAAATTTAAGAAGTCCATTATATTGTTTTTTTATTAAACTTACATATATAGTAAGACACAACCTTATAATTATATTATCTCCAAAAGGATATTATTATTTTTTTATTTTTAATAATGTATTATATAAAATAAGGTAACTTTTTTTGTAAATCCCTCTTCAACCAATTAAGATTCAAATATAATATTTTTAATTTGAAATGTCATGTTCTTAAAACTCCACAAGAAGATGATTAACACCAATTAGGAGAAAAAAAGAAGATTAGCACTAATCAGAAGAAAAATAAAAGTCCCAACATGCCCACTGTTTAAATAAAAAAATAATGATATATATAGATGATTTATTTATAATTTTTATATACAATACTCTTTCTGTTAATTTTTAATAAATTTAATTTAATTTATTAAAATTTTTTAAATATAAATTTAAATAAAAATCTAATAAATTATATAAATAATAATTAAAGATACAACATCCTTTCATTTCTTTTCATTTTCCTTCCCTCCCCTCTTATTTGAATAAACTCCATTTTCCTTTCAAGTTTTTATTAACCAAATAAAAAAATTTATATCTCTTCTTTTCTATTCTCTGAAATCAAACATATTATAAATCATTTTCTAAATAAAAAGGGTCCAACAAAAGATTTTCTTTCATTTGTTATTCAAAGTTACTAATTAAATAGAGAAAATTTCCCCTTTCCCTTTCATTTGCCTCAAAATAAATAAACATATAATTCATTTTCTAATAAAAATGTCCAGCGAAGGATAGCCTTTCATTTCTTATCCTGGCTTTTACATTCTAGCCTTTTTAAGAACGGTTGCGGCAAAGCGTGATACACTCGCCCACCACTCACCAAAAACTCACAGTAAGACGAGAACTGAGATGAGGAGACGGTGCCTTGGGATGTTGAGTTTAGCAGTCATTGTGATTCTCCTCATCGGAGAAGTTCCTGAGGCGGCTTCTACTGACGGAGCCAGCATCAATGTCACCGCCAGCATTGCGGAATTCATAGGGGATGAAGAGTTCTTGATGGGATCTGAAGTGAATGCAAGGCTTCTGCAGGATGGCAAACAGATTTCGTTTACTTATCCTTCATTAAAGAAACCTGCACTTTGTGATGGAACAAAATATGCATCAGATCCTAAATGCTTAGGACAGATCAACGTGGACAATCGGGGTTGCAAATTAAGAGAACAATGCCGTCAAGGGGGATGATCTTCGCTCTAGTGGGGATGGGTATATCGAAGCAAGCAGACATGCTTGAAGCTGTCAAACATGGAATCAAGCCCCAAGATCTTTATTAAATAAGAAGGCGCATGTAGATGTAATTAAGAATGTTAGTTAATTGCTTCTGCTTCTATAGATGTGTTTAATTTCTGTGTTTTGCCTTTTCTACCTCTGCCTTAGAAAGGATATGGACGCCATGAAACTGGGTAATGTCCATTTTTAAGCTCTACATGTAAAAGTCATCTATCAATGCGCTAATTATTTGTGTGTTTTTAATCCGTGAATAAGGGTTTATTATTATGGAAATACAAGGGTACTCCTGCCTAATGCAGTCTCCTGTCCCAGATTTTAGATTAAAAAATCAATGAAAAACAGAGTTCACCACTATTCAGACAATCCACAGGAAAAGCTTTCCCCTGAGAATTATACCAGTAATCAGGGAGTAAATCAGGCCACACTCCACAGCTTAGCTTTAATCCAGCTGAAAGATCTAACTTGTATTAACTCCATTGATCAGAGAGAACACCTTTTGGTTTCGCCTTAAGTATAGAGACCAAATAACCCCAAACCAAATTACCGTCCAATTATCCTGAAGAAGTCCTTTAGGCATTAAAACCAATATGCTGCTTCAGATGTTCCCAGCCATCGCCATTCGTTGCCACTTTGATATCCCACCAGTTACATAAGAGGTTCATGGTGTTGACTGATCTTTCCTTCGACAGGTGCTACAAGATTTTAACATTCCAGCTCCTTTGATACAGCTAATCATGTTTTCAGTGAGCTCTCTACAGCTTTCAGTGACCTCTCTACAGCTTTCAGTCCTTTGGAATGGAGAAGAATTACCATCTTTTAATCCACAAAGAGGTCTAAGGCAAGGCGATCCACTTTCACCTTGTTTATTTATCATGGCTATAGAAAAGTTATCTCATAAGATCCAGAGTAGGGTGCAATCCAAGTTACGGAAGCCATTTAAGATATCTTGAGGGGGACTTGCTCCTTCACACCTATTCTTTGCAAATGATCTTATGCTCTTATGTGAAGTCTCTCAACAGCAGGTGGAGGTAGTCATGGATTGTTTAACTAAATTCTCAAGGGCATTAGGACTAGAAATAAAGTTAGCAAAGTCTAAGCTATATGTTTCGCCAAATATATAGAATCATGTAGCTGGTGTTTTGAGCAATGCTTGTGGCATACCGCTATCAAGGGACTTGGATACCTATTTGGAGGTTCCAATCTTTCATTGGGGGACCTTCGGTTTCTACTTATAAACATATCTTAGAAAAAATACAAGTTAAATTGGTTGGATGGAAGAAAATTTTGTTAAGCATGGTTGGGAGGAGAATTCTAGTTCAATCTGTAACTTCTGCAATCCCTACATGCACAATGCAATCAATCTTGCTACCAAATAGTGTTTGCTCAGCTATTGACAGCTTGAATAGACGGTTTCTTCGGGGCTCTAATGCAGCAAATAAGCCGCACTTGGTCAATTGGGAGACTATATGCAAGCCACGGGATCTTGGAGGCTTGGGTCTCAGATCGGCTAAAGAGAACAATCAAGCCTTGATCACTAAACTTGGTTGGTAGCTAATCTGTACTCCAAATAAGCCTTGGTGTAAGGCTCTCTTGGCAAAATACCTCAAGAATGGGTCCTTAATGAATTGCTGCCTGGGCCGAACAGCTTCAGTTCCATGGAAAAGCATTATGAAGTGTAGGAGTATCTTGTAATTAGGTTTGTGATGGAGGGTCGGTGATGGGCAATAGATAAAATTTTGGTAGGATATTTGGGTGGGTGACAAGCCTTTGCATGAAGAGGCTGTTTCCCAAGTTTTACCTACTTCCATGGATATCCCTGTTTCAAATGCTATTACCCTGACTGGTGAATCGAATGAGATCTTGCTCGGGCACTTCCTTCCAAGAGCTGTTGTTGAGTAGATTTTGGCAATCCCAATCCCAGTGTTCGAGCAGCAACCAGAGAGAGCATTTTGGAGTGGTTCGCAAGATGGTCTGTTTTCTGTTAAGTCTGCTTTCAGCCTATTGGAAAAACAGCATGTTAATCCGATTCAGCAAGAGGGGAGCTGGAAATGGATATGGAAGCTATAGTGTCTGGAGAAAATAAAATTGTTTGTTTGGTTTCTTCGGGGAGACAAAGTACTCACAAATTCTATGAGGTTTGAAAGGCATTTTGAAGCAACTCTAGTTTGCCCAAGATGTGAACAAGAACCGGAGACTCCATTACATCTCTTGAGAGATTGCTTTCACTCCCCTTTGATTTAGGAGGCTTCGACTGTCCTCCCTAACAATTTTTTCAACTTGAGCTTTGAAGAATGGTTAAGAAAGAATGCGAAAGCCACATTGTCTAATGATGCCGTTTCACAACTGGTCTACCTTCTTTTTATCTACTATTTGGGTGATTTGGAAGAGCAGGAACATAGTTATCTTTGACAACAGGAGGATCCCTCCTCATGTTCTTTATCAACAAGCTTCCTCTCTAACAGCTGATAAAAGGTTGGCTTTGGCAACAAATATTTTGGCACATACTCGTTTACCTCGATGGGTGAGATGGTTCCCACCAAATTTCCCATTTCTCAAGTTGAACACAGATGGGACAATGAGCCATTCCCCCTAAGAGCTAGTGCTGGTGGACTGATCCGTGATCATGGGGGGCGGTGGCTGTACGGTTTTGCCATTAACATTGGACCACAATCTAGTTACATGGCAAAGCTTTGGGGCTGCCATACTTGTCTCCAATTAACCTCTAAGCTTGGAATTACTCACTTGGTCCTTGAAATGGACTCTCTTTTGGCTGTGCAGATGATACAAGCGAGGAAAGCTGGGGATGGCCTACCTTCTGTGTTGTTGCTGGATATTTTCCATTTGATAGACTCCTTCACTATTTGTACAATTCAACACACTTTGCGAGAGGGGAACTCAGCAGCTGATTTTATGGCCTCAATTGGTCATAATCTTACTCAAGGCACTACCTTCTTCCCGAATCCACCAAAAGGCATTGGGAGCATTCTTTATGGAGATAGTGTAGGAACTTTGTTCCTTAGGACTTAGCTTTGTTTAGTTTCTTATGTACCAAAAAAAAAAAAAATTTAGAAATTCAGTCACATTATTAATTGATTAAATAATATATTTAATTATAATATTAATCGAATAAATTGTATTTAAGATATCTCAATATAATTAATTTACTTTTATATTTGTCTAGCTAAAACAAAAGCTACTACATATAATTCTCTAGATATCTATGAATTTCTTTCTTTTAATTCTCACTGCTAGCTTTCGCATATTTTTTAAACCTTAATGCAAATGATCCAAAAAGTTTTGCATTTGGAAAGAAGATATACTCGATCAGTATTTTCTATCACCTGTCCACAAAATGTGCACTATGCCTCTTTGCAACTAAATTACTTATTTGTGTGTTTGATTTTGCTAATTTCTTTTTGGGAGCGATCATGGCGGCGTTGGCGAAGGAAATGGTGGAGAATTGCCTATTTAACGAGGGGCATTAGTGGTTTGAATTGCCTACTTCTGTAAAGGGTTATTCATCATTTTGGTGAAATGGTGAGGGCAAGATTGTAACATCTACATGAGCAACTTGGATCCTAGGAGAGGACAATTCAATTAAAAAGGTTTCAAAGCCAGCATTGGTTCGCGCAATAATAATTAAATTCTCTGTATGATTATCAGCGGTAGAGCATTATCCTTTTTATCAACAAGAAAAGGAGAGAAATAACCAATAATAACTTGGTTAAATTAATATTTATTAATTAAAAATTTTAAATTTAAGATTGAAGTTAGGAATTTAAATTTATGTTATACTAAACAACTAGTTATCTTGTACATAAAATAATAATAATAATAATAAAGAAAAAGAGAGAAAACAGTCGTTTCTCGAAAATAAAATAACAAACACTGCAATGAGGGGTGTGTGGATGTGCGCAAATTAATAGAGTAAGTTGAACGTTACTCATAATCAACCTTAGATGGCAGCTTCTAAAATAAAAATAACTTTTACAGGTAGGTTACAGATTTTTTTATAGCCAGGTGCCATTGATGCCAATATGAAAGTATACATACAGATTAACATCTTCTGCTCAACAGACTTTCCCTTCTCAATTGTCATTCCCTAATAGAAGACTGCTTGTGTCACCCTCCGAGATCTTGGTTCCAGAGCTCTGATCACTTATAGCAATGCTAGATGCAATATCACTTGTCGACTTTGGAGATTTTGCCACGTTCTTACTTGAACCACTGAAAAGCTCTTCATCAGTGGTGGTCGCATTCCTGTCGTTTATTTCTTTGTCTGCGGCCTCCTGAAGTTGCAACGTGAACTCTAGGGCCCACACAATATCACTCATCATGGGCCGTTCCACTCCTTGATCACGCACGCATCTCTCCGCCACCTCACCAAATTTTTGCAAGGCCATGGGCGCAATTTGGTCCGTTAGGTTCCTATCCACGATTTGATCAAGCTTTCCTTTTAAATAACAACTGCGGGCCCAATGGACCAGGCTCGCTTTCTCCTTTGACAGGCCTTGGATCATCGGCGGCCTACCGCACAGCACCTCAAACAATACCACACCAAAAGAGTACACATCGGATTTCTCCGTTAAATGTTGCCGGCGATAATATTCTGGGTCCACATACCCGAAACTGCCCTTCACCACAGTGCTGACGTGGGTTTGTGACGTGCTCATGGGACCCAATTTCGACAAACCAAAATCTGACACCTTGGCCATGTAATTCTCATCCAACAGTATATTTGATGACTTCACGTCGCGGTGGATGATACTGTACTTTGCCTCCCTATGCAGATATTGCAATCCACGCGCTGCCCCGATACAAATCTCTAGTCTCCGTTTCCATGACAGCGGTTGACTTTTAGTGTTGTAGAGATGATCACGGAGGGTGCCATGTGGCATGTAATCATACACAAGGATCATCTCGCCTTGATCATCACAGTATCCCATCAAAGACACGAGATGAATGTGTCGAAGCTTTGAGAGCATAGTGATTTCGGTGTGGAACTCGTGGGCCCCTTGCCTTGACGACGGGTTTAACCGTTTGATTGCAACAACAGTGGTCCCACCATCAATAATCCCTTTGTAAACGTTCCCAAATCCACCGCTTCCGATCATAAATCGATCGTGGAAATCTTGAGTGGCAGCTTTGATCTCGGCAATTGAGAAGTGACGACAGAGATCGGATGGTAACGAGGAGGTTTTATTGGCAGAGAACTTTGATGAGAAAGACCGTGAGTCTTTCTGTTTCCTTCTTCTTTGGAAAATGAAGAAGATCAGAAGGAGAGAAAACAGAGCAAAACCACCGAGAATAGCTCCAACGATAGGCAAAATCGTTGATTTTTCACCACTTTTTCGACTCCCTGGCTGTAGTTTGGGCGGTTGAGTTCTGGGGACTAGATCAGGATTTGGCCCTGCTAGGCTACCTGCAGTTTGATTCAACTTGAAAATCTCTAAGCCGTTCAAGAAAGCATCGGCGTATGTTGATGATTGATCAGGATGTAGATCTAGGCGGAGTTCCTTGGCTTGTGCCTCGTTCCCAACCAATACAATATAATCTTTATGAATTGGAATCCGAGGGCCCTGGGCCTCATAAAATACATCTACCTGCTTCTCTGCCGTTTGATTGTTGATGAAAATGTTGAAAACATGTTGATTTCGCTTGGTGACCTGAGCTAGGAGCTCACAGAAATGAAGCCTGAAAAGGTAATAGAACCCTGCATCGATGGCGAAGTTCCAGGTCAAGTTAGATTTCAGATTAAACCACGAATCACTGCCCATGATACGTAAGGTAGTGTAAACCTCTTTCGGTGCAGTATACTCTGGCGTGTCTGGTTCAGTATATTGAATCGAAAAACTGGATAACTTATAGACAGTAACCCACTTTGATGCAACCAGATAATCGTCATCTTGACGCCACGTCCGGTACATTCCGGTATCATCCTTGTTCTCAATTTGCTTTCCCCCAACATTGAGACGGTACATAGTCTCGAGAGCAGTGGTGTTATCCAAAGTGAAACGGCCACCCTCTATAGACACGAGTGGGATTTCACTACCGTATGCATACAGTACGCTTGGCATGGAAACAATTTCGATGCCGTTAATAAAAGCAAAAGAGGCCGGTGATGGGGCAAAGGTTACAATAAGCATCTGGTTGTCCCACACCGGGATAACATACTCTTTGATCAAGGATGCTGGACGAGGATCCATGGCGAGAACCGTCAAAGAAGCACTGAAATTATTCAAGAGGGTGTAACCATTGGCGGTGACAGAGAAGAAGGAGGTAGTTGTGTCGAGATCGGAGTATGTTTCTGGGTAGAAGTAGAGACGGAGGAATTTTGGACCAGGAAGTACTGGAAATTTGAAGGTGAACTTAGAGCGAATGATAAGTGCAGAGTGGTAGGGAACTTGAAGAACAGAGGGGTCCTGGCGTGAGGCATTGGAAGAAAACGATGCGTTTGGGTCGTTGAAGGGGCAATATTTAGAGTGAGGATCGGCCTCCCAGTTGCGGCCATCCTGTGATGTAGAGTTTGAAGTTGCACCGCAGTCTAGGAGTATGATGTCTGTGGCGTTGTAACCAGCAGCAGCGGCGGACGAGAGGAGGACATGGAGGAGAGAGATGTGGAAAGTAATGAGTGACAACGGATTCATTTGGAGAGTAAATTTTTTTTTGGCCAAAAAGTGGACCTTTGTTTAGGCCGAAAAGTGGACCTTTGTTTAATTAGTAGGTTTTTCGTTTTTATTTTTATTTTTATTTTTATTTTTATTTTATTATTATTATTATTATTATTTTTTAATGCAGAGATTGTTTAAAAATCAGAGTAAAAAAAGTGGGCGTTTGACGCTGACCACATACTTTGTAATGGAGGACTTTTCTACGGAGAAGGCGGTAAGGAAGACTGGTTGAAAGAAAGTGATTTTGGATGCTTCGTGGAAGATATTTCACGGAGAAAAAGTGTGGCGAAGACCTGCAAGTCTTCGGCTGAATTCTATGAGTACTGTAATATCAAGGTCCCCACCACTTTAATACCATCATTGTCGTTGGCTCCTTGGTGAGACTTTCAATCTCTCTCTCCTCCATCTGAATGAAGGTTAGCCTTTTGTTTGTAATTTCAAGTATTATTAGCAATGAACAGGTAGGAAGTTGTGTCTTTGAGAAGAGAGAATCGTTGGCATTCATTGTTCATTTTGCCTGTTCCCCTTATCTTTCTTAATTTGAATACTGGATCCTGTAATATGTATTTCCTGGTTTGTTGACAATTTCTCGGCTTTTCCTCCAGGATGCAAACAATAAGAAAGGTTAAATTGCTCCTGATTATAGCTTAGTGGGTATGTTCTGGAGCAAAGTTCAGATGCACAGTTGTATGTTTTGGATAGGTCTAATGTTTTGAAACTGGGTACCGGTAGTCTTTGATGTATGTGGGTTTGAAGTCCCTTTTGTACTTCATTTTAACATTTTGTTTCTTTACCAACTAAAAAAAATGCAAAAAATGTGATCAACAACCTGTTGATATGAATGGAAGGAGTTTAATTCTTCTTAAATAAAGTTTTAAATTCGAGTCTTATAAATAGAGAAACAGGTGTTGGAAGAGTTTCTTCTTAATAGGGTCCGACATGACTCGATTTTCAATTAATCAAGATCCAATGTGGTTACCGAATACCAAAAGATTAATATAAAAAAATGCAAAAGATTAAAAAACAGACAGATTATACAAGTGAAATGAAGAATACATAAATAAATAAATAGTCCATTTAATAAAATTAAATAAAAGTTAATGAATTCTTCCATGAATTAGGAAATAATTATAGTAGGTGAGATTTGATTTAATAAAATTAAATGAGAGTTAATTTATTTCTTTATAAATTAAGAGTTACTTATGGTAGGTGGGACTAATTAAATGGGAAAATATATTAATTGGGAAAATATATTAATTGTTTTAATTTTTAAATATAAATAAAGTAAAATTAAGAATTAAAGTAGATTTTAAATTATTTAAAATTTAAAAAACACACATAATCATCTTTTATACGATGGATTTTCCACATAATATTGAAAATGTAAAATAGTCAATCACTTAGCAGAAAAATTAGCTATGTCAGCACTTAACTGACGGAAAGATGAAATTGGTGCTGAAAATTGAAGTTGAAGAATGTTTTTGGTACTTTTTGAAGTTCAAGGATGAATTGGTTCAAAAATAAAAGTTGAGGGACCAAATTAGGTATTTAACCTAAAAAAATATGTTAACCACATCATCATCGCAATCCAATTAATTTTTAAATAGAAAAAATTAAAAGTTGACATCTTTATTTAGAAAAAATTGAAAGTTGACATTTTTTTTTAGAAACTCACAAAAATAACATCCTTAAATAGAAAAAATAAAAAGTTGATATCTTTATTTGTACCTTTACTTTAGAATGAAGGTAAGAATGGCTTTTAACCTTTAAAAATTCTTCTATTATCATTTTTAAAATGGGCATTAATCAAATTTAGGGTTAATTAGTATCTAGGTTGGTGATGATTGAGAGCTTACAAAATGGCAATGAAATTCACGATTCTGTTGGCCTCATCACCCAATAAGTGGAGAAAATTAGTCCATTTTTTTTTTTCGCCATATCACTTCACTGTCCGTTAAGTGATGGCGGAAACCGTAAAAAAAAAGGAGCTTAAACGCGGATCTCGAAGAGTTTGAGGGGTTTCTTTAATTTGCTTCTTCAATTTTGTATGGGGGCTGATTTGCAACCTAATGTTAAGTTTGGGGGGCAATGTCCCCTACTCACCACTATCCTAATCCTTTTTTAGGATTTTTTTTTCAAATATTAGGAAATTTTTTGATGGATCAAATATTAGGAATCGAAATACTAATTATTTTATATTTAAAGATTGTAATTTCAAGTATTATTAGCAATGAACAAGGAAGAAGTTCTGTCTTTGAGAATAGAGAATCGCTGGCATTCATCGTTCATTTTGCCTGTTCCCGTTTATCTTTCTTAATTTGAATGCTAGATCCTGTAATATGTCTTTCCAGGTTTGTTGACAATCTCTTGGCTTTTTCTCCAGGCTGTTAACAATTAGAAAGAGATAGATTATAGCTGAGTGGGTATGTTCTAGAGCAAAGTTCAGATGCTCAGTTGTATGTCTTGGATAGGTCTAATGTTTTGAAACTGGGTGCTGGTAGCATTCGATGTCTATGGGTTTGAAGTACTTTTGTACTCTTTTTTAACATATTATTTTTTTGCAATTAAAAAAAATACATTTTTATGAGAAATAAAATTTTATTGATATATGAAAATGATAAAAATTACAAGATCAACTCAAATGGGATAATACGTTAGAAGTATTACACTTATAAAATACATGAAAACATAAAATCAACAATCTAATGCCTACATAAATATTACAACTAGACACGAACTTAAAATTTAGCAGTTAAACTGCATTCCAACATAATTTATTTAAACAGAAGATAAATTGGTCAGGATAAACAAAATTTAGCTAAGGACCCCATTCCCAACCAAACCTTTAATATTCAAAGCAAGCAAGATAACTTATCTAAATCCAATTAATATCACATTCAAGTTGCCACTTTCCTTTAACAAAAGTGATGATAAAAAATATTGAGAAAGTTAAGGCAGAAATTTCAAACAAGAGAGAGAACTTCCACCAGAGAAGGAGATACCCTCACCAGAGAGGAGAAAACTCCCAACTTTAGCCATCCACCCTAATCGTCAAAGAGGAGAGAAGCGGCTAGGGGAAAGAAGAAAACAAAAGAAAAAGGAGAAAATTAAGGCAAGAGAAAGAAGGGGTGGCGCGTGCCAATCTTTTTTTAAAAAAAAAGGAATATTAAATTGCTTTTTTCATAGATGGATACATGAGTGAAATCAAGAATAGATAAATAAATAAAGGAGGATAATGTAGAGCAAGTCATTTTATCATAATTTTTTTTAAAGAATTTGTCTAAAAACCTTCATTCTAAATAATATTTGTTAAAAATCGATTGTTGAATTGAAAGTTTTATTTATGTAGATTTTGCATGTTATTTTTCATATTAATTTAATATTTATAATCTTTTAATAAAAAACTTTATTTATTAACATATATTTAACAATTTTAAATTTCTTGTAATTAACAAAGTAGTTAAGTTTATTAAAATAATTTGAAACTTAGTATGTATAATTTATATAAATAAAAATTTTAATTTAATAGTTAATTTTTAAAAATAGTAATTAAAAAATAAATTTTTAAATATATCTTCTAAAAAAATATTGAAAAACAATTTGCAAAACACTTTTCTATATAAATAATCCTGTGATCAAATAACTGAAATGGTAATATGAATGCTTACATTTAGAATGCTCAACCCTGAAGCAACATCAACAAAACAATCCTGTTCCCTACGACACCATAATAACCTCAGCGTTTTTGGCTTTTCCTCCCGATTTTTTTTCACCTTTGTTATAAGGCTGGAATGTCTCTGCAGCATCATCATCTTCACATTTTTCTCTTTTTCACCAGGATAATTAAACACCTTGAAATTCACTTAAATGAACACCATATGTGCGAAACCGCTCTGATTTTATTAGCCCCCACTGCAGTTCAGAGGGATTTGGTTTTGGAGATTCCCTGCGTTTGTCGCAGAAGGAAGGTAAAAAATGGTGTTTAGCCTTTTAAAATTCCTCTATTATCATTTTTAATGTGGGAAATAATCAAATTTAAGGTTAACTAATTTTTTTAACCCGTGCGTTGCACGGGATTATTTTTATGTCATTATATTAATTATTTAATTTTATAATAATTTTTTAATAAAAAAATTTTAATTAATTAAAATATTAAGAAATATTAATAAAAATAAGTATTTTTTATTTTAAATTTGT